TTACAGACGTGAGGGAGGATCACGGATACTAGGGAGGATCACGGATGTGAGGGAGAATCACTGATGCGAGGGAGGAACACAGATGTGAGGGAGGACCATGGATGCAAAGGAGGATGACGGATGCGAAGGAGAACCACGGATGTGAAGGAGGAGGACCACAGATGGAGGGAGAAGCATGGGGACGGTCCTGCCCAGGTCAGGACCGGGAGCGTGAGCAGGGCACACGAGGAGGGACCCCTGGGTGTGTCCGGCCGGTCTGAAGGGCAGGTGGGCGCGGGGCGGTGGGCCGAGGGCTTCCGCGCCTTACCGGAGATGGGGAGCGAAGTCCTGGGCACAGAGCGGGGGACGAGGCCGGACGCCGGGCCGCCGAGCATCCCCAGCAGCAGCACCAGCGGCGGAAAGGGCGAGGCCGGCGGCGGCCCCGGGCCCGGGCGGGGAAGCGTGGCCGAGGCCGGCATCTCTGGCTCCGCCTGGCTGCCCAGAGGGACGCGCCCCGCCGCCGCCGCTGCCCTGGGACCTGGTGCTGGCTTCGGCCGCGCTCGGCTCCGCTCGGCCGGGCTCGGCCTGCGGCTGCGGGATGGAGTACGGCCTGGCTCCGCCCCCTCGGAAGAGACCAATGGCCGGGCCACTTTCCTTATCCAGCCAACCGGGGGGGCGCGGGGGCGGGGCTAGGCGGGTGTGGGTGGGGCTTCCGCCTCCGCACTGACCTGGAGGGGGCGCACTAGCACTGCAGTGGCCGCGCTGCTCAGGCTCCGAAGCCTCCCTAGCGCCTATAGGGCGGACACGGGGGACCCCTGCGAACGCTGGACGGGGGCTTCTCGTGTGCCAGGCACCACCCAAAACACCACAACGATGTTTAAATATACGGAAAGCCTCTGCACTGAGGGCGCGTTCACAGTGTAATACCGCAGATGCGTAAGCACATCATTGCAGACAACTGACTACAATGCGATTTACGTTCACGTTCGCGCTGTCTTCAAACTGTTAAAAGCAGATGTTTTTAAATGTTTTTGACAGGTTGAACCCGGGAAGGGTGTTTAAGCGGAGAAGAGCCCGGGTGGTTTAGAGGGCTGGAAAACATGCTGGGGAGTGGGTCCCTCGAGGAGCGTGCCCTCTGTCCATACCCCCGGGCCCCGCTGGCATCTAGATGTCCAGGAACTGGGGGGAAACAGTGATGTTCAAAGGGAACCTGTGCGGCCACGCCTTAATATCTGGCACTAGCCGTTGCCGCCCCTCTCCCGGGGACCAAATTGGGAGGCTCTGGCCGCGTGGCCAGGGTTAGGGTGCAGGCTGCGCGCCTCCAGCGGTTCGAGTCCACCTGCAGCTCCGCGGGAGTTTGGGTTTGAAGTTTCCGGAAATTCCGGGTGGGGGAAGAGGCTGCTGTCCATAAACACTGGACGGAAGTGACTACCCGGGGGCGGGCAGACAGAGAGGCTGCGACCGCAGCGGGGTTAGGGGACGTGCCGTCGGGGTGCGGGAAGAGGGGACAGTGCGGGGTCCGCGGGCGGAACTCTGGGTCCAGGAGGGGTGATCTGGGGCCCCGCGCCCGCCGGCGTCCTCCCGCCCTCAAGGGGGCGCCGTCGTCGTCGGCACAGGGCGTCGTCCTGACGGGGGCGCGTCCTCCCCACGGGGCATCGTCGCGCGGGGCACGCTGGGAGCGCGAGCACCCAGGTGAGGGGCCCTCGACCCCGAGAGTGGGGTGCGCTGACCGCCGGGGGAGGGAGGACCCAGGACTGAGAGCGAGACCCCACCCCACGCCGCGCGTGACCCCACCCCACCCCGAGAGTGACCAGACCCCACGCCGAGTGACCCCACCCCGCGCGTGACCCCCACACACCCCGCGTCGCCCCTCAGTGTGTCCTCCCCTCACCAGCCGCGTGTCCACGCCTCCTGCACCCTTCACCACGCCATGCCGGAGGCCTGCACAGCGTCCACCCAGCGTCCACCCGCACAGTGTCCACACAGTGTCCACCCCACACAGCATCTGCCCAGCGTCCACCCGGTCGTCCATCCCTACAGAGTGTCCCCTAGTTTGCACCTTCGAGTGCCCTGTACCACATCAGCGAGTGCTCTGATCATGTCCTCAGTGTCCGTCGTGTCCTCACAGTGTCCGTCGTGTCCTCAGTGTCCGTCGTGTCCTCACAGTGTCCGTCGTGTCCTCA